TAGAACTCTATTGTATGTATGTACCAAAGTTTGTTTAACCATTCTTCCATTTATGGGCTAAAATTTTAGACAGTCTTTATCTTTTTGGTGTCTCTTGCAGACAGCATATTATAGGATCCTGTTTTCTTATCCATTCTATTCTCTATGCCTCTTGACTGGTACATTGAGTCCATTTATATTCAGTGCAATTACCAATAGGTATGAATTGATTATTATCATTTTTCTGTGTGTGCTTTTTGTGGTACTGCTGGATTCTTTGTTCCACATAATTTCCTAAGCTGAGTTCATTTAGTTTTAGGGTTTTCTTTTCATTTCTGTTGTGTTTTTACTAAATCTGGTTTTCCTCTTACTAAAAATTTGATGTATAGGTGTATTATTTTTCTTTGAGGTTATCCTGTAATTTATTTCCCTGCTTAAAACAGTCTGTTTTTATCAGGAAATATATTTGACTTCCTTGCCAGTTGGAAATTCTATATCTACACTTTTCCGTTTGCTTTGTAGTTTCTTCATTATACATTGATAGCTTTGGTTCCGTATTTCCAGTCTTGTAGGCTTGTTTTACTTTAAGTACTTCTATATCTGGATTGAGTTCTGGGTGGTGTTGTCATGAATGGCAATTTCAGGTTACTGTCTGCTGTCATTTGTTCTCAGACCAAAGAACACCCTTTAACATTTTTTGCAAAGTTGGTCATTACAGATTCCTTTAATTTCTGTTTATTAGGAAATGTCCCAATTTCACTGTTGTATTTGAGGGACAGTTTTGCTGGGTGAGTTTTGGTTGGCAATCTTTTCCTTTCAGCCTGTTGTATTTGCCATTCCATTGCTTTCTTGCTTGCATGGTTTCTTCTAAGAAATCAGAACTTATTTTTATTGGTTCTTCTTTGTAGGTAACTCTTCATTTTTCCCGAGCTGCTCTCAGTATCTTTCCTTGTCTTTGATTTTGTAAAGTCTGATTATGTCTTGGTGATTTTCTTTTGGGATCTATTTTGTTTAGGGTTTTGTTCAGCTTCTTGTATGCTTATCTTATTTTTCATGATTCTAGGGAAATTTTCTTCCAACAACTCAACAGTTTTCTCTGTGCTTATCTCTTTCTGTTCTGGAATTCTGATTATCCATAAGTTGTTCCTCTTCATGGTGTCCCACATAACTCTTAGCCTTTCTTCACATTTTCTCATTCTTTTTCCTAATTGTTCTAGAATATTGAGAGATTTCTCATCAGGCTAATTTGGGTTTCTACTGCTTTGCATCTGTTCCTTTGCACTTTTAATGTATTGTCCATTTCTGAGATCTAAGTATTAATTTTCTGCTTTTCTAATTGCAGGTTTTATACTGTTTCATAATTTGCTTCCATTTTGTCTGTTTGTTCTTGTAGTGTTTTCCTGAATTATCCTAATTTTTTTTTTATTACGTTCTCCTTGCTTTCCTCTATCATTTTATTGATCCTTTGAAGGTACCTAATTATCAGTCTTTTGCTTTCCCCCCCAGATAGTTCTATTACCTTTTCTTTCTCAGAAACATCTTCTGGTTCATTTGTTTGAGCCATTCTCTCTCTTTTTTTTTTTTCTTAAACGTTTTATTGTGAATTATGTGATAGTTTACATGGGAGAACATTAGTTTTACATTCATTCTATCGTATATCGTCTCATTGCCATGGTTACAATCCCCTCCATGCAATCCTTCCCCCGTACCCCCTAGGTCTTCAGCACACAGTTGCTCTCCCTCTCTGGATCTAAAGTCTCCAGCTGTTCCATCGCTCCACATCATCATCTCTGGCTCCATTTCAGGCATCACTGCTTCTCTGGGTAGGGTCCCACTCTCTGTTCTTCTCCCTTGATGGTCCTACGGACCTCTGCTCCTAGACTGAAAAGTTAATCACTCCCCTCCTTGCTATAAAACGTCTACCTTTACATTTCTGACCCTCACAATCAGTCCTAATAACATTATTCACTATTGTATCACAAGAGACCCATCTGCATTTCATTGCATCAGCCCCGCCTAGTCAGATTGAATACTACTCACTGGAGATTCTACCTTCCTCCAGGCCTTCTGGATCTAGGTTCCCTCTTGAAAGCTTGTAAGCCAGTCACTTCTTGCCTTTGTAGTCCCCACCCCCCATTTTGGGTGGCCAATGTCCAAGTTGCCCATCCCTGTCTACTCTGTGTGTGGAGGGGGTGGGAATGATTCTTGCTGTAAGGACTTGTTCCCTCTTTTGAGCTACTACTTCCATAGGTGTAGAGCCATTCTCTTTTGTTTCTTCCTATGAGCTAAAATTGTCTGTTGTCTCAGGAGCCTTGTGAAGTTGTTTCATTTGTAAAAAACAAACAGTACAGTTTTTGATCCAGAGGGGATAGGCCTCTGGGGGGCAGCTCCTGCAATTCAAAGTGCTCACAAGGTGGTTGTAGAAAAGAAATGACAACAGTGCTTCTGGCCCTTGATGGAGTTCCTATTGGTCTTGGTGTTAACTATATTCAGGGCACTCAACCTGGAATTAGGATCTGGTTTCAGTGTTTGCTAGGATGACAGGGAAGCTGGGGGCAGTATGATTGGTTAAATGCTGATCTGGTAGTGCTGAGGGTTTTGTAGGTCTACTGCTGAGCCCACCTGAATCCAGGCACCACAGGGCACACCAAAGCAGCACAGCCAGCCCCCACCTCACACTGCAATGGCTCCTAACCATAGTGTTCCAAACTCCTGGAGAGCAAGGTCTGTGCTGGGGTGGATGTGTGTTGGAGCTGGCCACACTTCTGGTCAGCACTAGAGTGTGGGGAAAAAATAGAAATCACACCTTTTCTGTCACCCAAGCAAATCTGCCAGGCCTCCCTCTACCGGTAAAGTTATTCACAAGATGGCTGAGCTGCGTCCGGCCAGTCATTCACCAGTCAGTCTCCTTTTTTGCTGTCCCTGCTCGGCCTCTTCTCCCAACAAGCACTCCACCCACCTCTCTAAAATAACCTTTGTTCCGAAGTTCAGGGTGCCAGAATTTTCATCTGTGTTTGTTTTATTTGATCTCTCGTGTCTTTGTAGTAGAGGGTCCATACAGTGCATCTGCCTAGTCCACCATCTTGCCGGGAAGCCTCTAACTTGCCTATTATTATAGTAGGGAGTAATCTGGAACCTGGATCCAGTCCTGTTACTGATTGAAATCTCTTGGTCTCAGTTTCCTCATTTATGAAGAATACTAACTTCCATGGTTTCTTTTCAGTTTTAACATTTAAAATAAATCAGTGCTTCTGATTTGCTTTTTTCCACATGCACAGTCTAATCTTGTCTCTAATTTTTCAAAGATTGTCTATAGCGTTTTATTAGCAAGCAATTTTGAGAACTCTCAAGTAATGACCACTTTGGAATATAAATAATACTGCATTTACTCACAAAAGATTTCTAGGGAAATTTTACTCAAACTTTGTAAGCCAACATTTATAACTCTTACATACCTTCAGCAAAGCTTTTTCAGGTGTGTGAAAATTTCAAACTGTATATTCATCTTTATCTGTGATAAATATGCTCTTATGTACAAGTTGAAAAGAAGCTCCTAAAATGAAGAAAATATTTCATCTCATGTTTTACCACACAAAGATCTCCAGTGTTAATATTTTGGTATGTTTCCTTAGTCTTTTTTTTTTTTTTTTCTACTCTATTTTTTTCTTTTTTTCAAGTGGCATTAAAACTGTTAAAATTTTGTATCTATTCTTTGTTTTGTCATCATGCTCACATTATTAGTCTTCATGGCTTTTAAAAGTAATACTTATCAGCATATCAAAATTTTGTTTAATTTAGAAATACTGGGAAGTATACAAGCATAAAGAAAACAAGTATCATGTGTAATCACTCTTGAACCTCACTCAGGGATCACCTTATATTTTTTGTAAGCATATATATCATACAGCGAACTATCACAAAAACTGTGATTTCTATTGGTTGTATAACAATAATTTCTCTTACACTGGTTTATACATTGTGCCATTTCATTATGTCTTAGTGAGATACTGGGGGAAGCTTCTCAGCAATGGAAAGTTAAAAATACTATCATACATTTAACTTATGTGACTGGTTGTATGCATAGAATGGAATTCTTTTTTTAAAAAGTTGGTCCTTTTTTGTTCCTTTCCTGTTACTTCCATAATCAAGAAGCCACCAGTTCCTCAAGGCCTATACAAACGCTCCCTTCAACATTTTTATAACAGACTTAGCAATTGATTGCACCTGCTACAAACTTTGAATTCTGAAAATGGATTCCAGGCATTCTTTTTCTCTCTTCCAAAACACACACAGCCTGCTACCTACTCAAGGGGGCCACCAGGAGCCCGCAGGCTGGCAGTTCCAGACAGTCTCAGGGGCAGATAGACTAGACAGGGAGGATGCGTTTCCCCAATGCAGCGTGCCGGCCAGCAGTGGATACCCGCGCTTGGGCTGTGGCCCGCAGTAGCGTTTGACAGACAGCCGCCTGCGATCTGCGGGGATTTTCCAGCGGGACCCAGAGGAGGGAAAGTGCGCGCCGCCCACGTGACTTAAGTTCACTTTCAGCTTTCAACCACAGCACTGCTGGAATAAACACACATCTGACCCCTTCCTCCCCAGAAGAACCTTCTCCAGTCACTATTGACAAACACACAGACTTCCTTTTTGGGCATGACCACTGCTAAAGGCTGACAAACCCACCACTCCCCAACGGCGCCTCTCCGCTGAGGTGCAGTCTCACAGACAAAACCACCAGAGCACCAGAGCAACAGTTTGGGCACCGAGCAGTCAGTCCCCAAGACGGCACGCCACAGAAGCCCTCACCCCAATCGGGGCTCCACAGAGGCCAGCCCGAGACCCCCGGCTCCCGGTTCCCCGCCCGCCGCGGCGCCGCCTCCCTGGTGTGTGTGTGTGGGGGGGGGAGTGAGGGGGGGAAATGCGGGCCAGGCGCATGCGCGCGGCGCTCCCGGGCGTGCCGGCCACACTCCCCCCCACCCTCTCTGCGAGCTTGTCACTTCCTGCCCTCGCCCCATCTCCGTCCGGGGTCAGTCAGTCGCTCCCTGTCGCTGCCGGAGCGTCTTGGTCTCAGCTTCTTCTCCTTTCCTCCGTGCGCCGAGGCGGCTGCTCGGGCTCTTTGGGGAGGGGGCGACAGAAAGAGAGAGACGGACTTAATAAAGTTTCCTGAAACAACAACTGCTACCACCAGCGGCCCAAGGGGGGCGACCCCGTCCGTCCCCGCCCCTCTCCAGCCTGAGGGACCGTTGCAGGTGGAGCGGCGCCGGGGGGAGCCGCGCTCTGCCGCAGCCGTTGCCCGGCGAGGGGTGCCTCAGGTCTTGCCCGCTCCGGTTCCGGCCCCGGTGGTGGCGACCGCGGCTGCTGCGTGGCGGTTCCTCCTGTCAACTGCCTGCGCCCGCGCGCCGCCCGGCTGTCCGCTCCCAGCGCGGACGACCCCGTGGGCCGCCGCCGCCGCTCGGGCCAAGGCGCTTCCGCGTCCGGGCCGTCGGGGACTCTTTGGGATCGCGTCGGGCCCGAGCGCCCGTCCCCTCGCGTGGTCCGCTGAGGCTGCGCCAGGTGGGGCCCGTTGCCGCGGCCCCGGCCGGCCTGCCTTCCGCCCGCCGCCCACCTTTGGAGTTGAGTAAGTTGGGCGCACTGGGCGCGGGGAAGGGACTCGGGCCGGGAGACCCCGACGCACGTGCGCGGCGGGAGGGCAGCGCGGGCCCGGCCCGGCGGGAGCTCCCTTCAGCCGGCCCTCGGCGCGCCCGGGACTGCCAGGCCGCCACCGCTACTGCCGCCGCCGCCCGCCAGGCCCGCGCCGTGCGCGCCGGAGCCCGCGTTTCCGGGTCGGGGCGGACCTGTGCGGGGCGTGAGGGCTGCGGGCGGCCGGCGTCCGGGGCGGAGAGGGAGGTGCGGGTGCGCCGTGTTTAGCCAGTCCTCCGGGAAGTTCGGGGCCAGTGACGGGCTTGTGCTTTTTTCCACAGTCGAGCCGCAATGAAGAGCTTCTTACAGTGAAAGGAAAGTAGGTCGCGCCCACTGAAAATGCCTTTAAGGGACAAATACTGTCAGACTGACCACCATCACCACGGATGCTGCGAACCAGGTACACCCCGCCCCAGGCCGCGCTGCTGTCTAGGGCCGGAGAAGCCACCCTTCGCCCACAGGCGGGAATCTGGGCCCCAACCGAAAATCAGTAATGAAGCTAAAAGCCGGTGCAAACGGGAGCGCTCTTCTGCTTGGTCCCTGGGGGGTGGCGGTGGGGGGGACTGCCAGGTGTCACCTTCCATCTTTTCCACGACATCAGTCACTCAGTCCTTTCCCCTTTTCTTTCAGGGCAGCCTGCAGCTAGGAGGGTAGTACCCCCAAGCTCTGGGAGTGGTCCGCACTTAAAAGAAAGGGAGAAATAAGTAGCAGAGAAGCCTGGCATTTATCTTCGGGAAAAGGGCTTCATTGAAACTTAAAAAGACGAAAAGTTTCTCATGCTTTTTTTTTTCAATCAGAAACTTCTCTCTGGATGCTTCAAAATGAGTGTAGCTTGTTTTTTTTAAAGATTTTTAATGCCACTTGTTGAGGGGAGGATCAGTTTTGGGGAAGTGCAACCTTTTGAAAAATTATCTAGGCCAGAACATGTATTGCAGAATAAAAAGTCTTGTATGGAGGTGGAAAATCTAGTGTTTTTAAGGGTGTTTTGTTCAGTAGGACCTTTACGTGTATGTGTGTGTGTATGTATGTACATATGTATACATATACAAATGTGTATGTGTGTGTGTATATATATATATATATGAATGTGTGTATGTATATATACACACATGAAATGAAAAAATTGCTCCTAAGAGTCTTAGCAAACTTTCCCTTGAGAAATGTGATCTAGAAATTTTGACCATTTACTAGCATTTTGATGTGGTTTGTCACAGACATTTAGAGGTACAGCTTAAATGAGACATTTTGAATACATTCTGTCACTAAAATAAAAGGCTCTTCTAGTTCAAAGGTTTTAATGTTGATCTGAAACTTATTAGGACTTTTTTCTGCTTTTGCTTCTTTTTGGTAGGACTGTTTTAACTTCATTGATACATATACTACATTTATCAGGAGAGTTCATTTAAAGCTATTTGTGATAGATAGGAACAAGTAGTAGCAGTAAAGAGGAAGAACTCCCATTTCTAGAGGACTTGGGTATACATGAGAATAAACTGGTATTATGATGTTGTCCTGCCACACTTTGTGATAGCTTGTCTCAACTCATAAAGCAGGACCTCCAAGGATGGAATCTAGTTTTTTTTTTTTTTTTTCCAACTGTTCCCTGCTCCTGTCGAACTTGGGGAACTCTTTCACACTACCCATTTTGCGTAATTGAAGGAAAGAGATATTATTTGTGCTCAGCAAGTTTTGAAGAGAAGTTTACTAGTTGGAAGTACAAAAACGTGGGTGCCTTTTATACTTGTGTTCCACTGAGTTTTTCATACAGTTTCTTTTTCTTGAAAACACTTCAAGCCATTTCTGTGAGTTGAATTAGCTTATGAAATCATCTTTTTCCTAGGAAGGAGCTGATTTGCTCAATCTTCTTCTTCTTCTTCTTTTTAAAGTAAATTATGATTGAGCACATATTGGTGCTGGACAGACACTATCCAGGGCAGTGGCGCTTTAAATGGTGAACAAGACAGAGAGAGCCTTTTCTTCCTTGTGAATTTTATGGAAGGAATGGCATCTGCATAAAGAAAGAAACAAACAAACAAGACAATTTGTGATTATAGTTTTCTGTGTACTTTAATGCCTTTTTAAAGAGGGTTTTCAGTGTTCCAGAACTTTTTAATTTATACTGGAACATTTTTTGTTGCCTTTTGTTCCTCTAGCCACAGAACTCTGATGAGTTGTATTGATTTACAATTTTCATCTTTCTTTTTCTATCAGGGTTCCCCCCCCCCCCCCCCCCGATTATCAGGTCAAAAGTACTTACTTGCTTTCTTAGCTAGAATTAAACACTTTCTAAGGATTTAGTCTTGTCCTAATTCTTTGGGAAGCTAGAAGTTTGTTTGAATTTTTAGAATTCTCACTCTTTCAGAAGGCCTGTGTTGAGTGGGAGGATGTATTCAGGGGTTAAGGGAATATGTTATGATGTGATGGGCTTTAAAAGATGCCTTCAGATGGAGGGGAGAAAAAATGATATTTGAGGAATTCTTTTAACAACTGATGAGCAGTGGTCCTCATTTGAATTCTGGATAGTGGTCAGTGCTTTGGTTGAGAATGATACATTCCTGAGGAGGGTATAGTTAAGGGTGGTGTTACAAGCCTGTTGTTGTTAAGTGCTGTTGAGTTGGGGTCAACTCAGAGTGACCTTGTATGGCATTCGTTGTTGTTGTTGTTAAGTGCCGTCGAGTCGGTTCCGACCCATAGCGATCCTGTACAGGATTTCTGAGGGTGTAAATCCTTACGGGAGTAGAAAGCCTCATCGGCATTTAGGGGGCTTTAAAAGGAGCTCTGGTAGTGTAGTGGTTACGAATCAGGCGAACCGCAAGGTCAGCAGTTCGAAACTACCAGCTGCTCCACGGGAGAAAGATGAGGCTTTCTGCTCCCGCAAAGATTTACAGCCTCGGAAACCCTGTTCAGGGTCGCTGTGGGTCGGAATCAACTCAATGGCACTTAACAACAACAACAAATCTTTGTGGGAGCAGAAAGCCTATGTTTCTTCCACAGATATAAGCTTGTATCAGTATATATAACCCAGGAGCCCTGGTATTGTAGTGGGTTACCCCTGGTGGACTCAAACTGCTAACCGCAAGTTTGAGTCCACCAGGTGCTCTGTGGGAGAAAAATGAGCCTTTCTGCTCCCGTAAAGATTGACAGCCTTGGAAACGCTATATAGGGTCGCTTTGAGTTGGGATTGACTCCACAGCATAACCACCACCACCATGCTGTTGAGTTGGTTCTGACCAACTTAGCAGACAAAGTGTCTTCTTACGGTTTCAGAATGTTGTTTATGATAGGAATTTTTAGACATGTAAAAGTAGAGACCTGATGTAACCATCACACAGCTTTATCATTTGGTAATATGTGAATAATCTCTTTTCATTTAAATTAACCCCTCCCACAATTTCCTTCTACCCTCCAACTTCTCCCCCACCTCTATTATTTTGAAGCAAATCCCAGACATCATTAAAAAAAAATAAAAATTAAGGACTTGCTTGAAGGTAAGAGAGACTGAGAAAAGTAGGTATTTTATTCTGGAAAGTGTGTTTTGGGGAGAATGGAAGGAAAGATGTTACCTTCTGATGATTTGGGTGGTTTTTGATTGAAGGAAGGTGCCCTCTTTCTGAAAGGATCATGTAACTTGGATGGGTCTGATAGAATATATAAGGGATGTTAGAATACATAAGAGAACTTAAAAAAAATTAGAAATAGATTAGGTTTACTAGCTGAGAACATGTTTTCAAATGAAAAATATTTCTCAAAGCAGGAGCTACATGTGGGCACAGTGATGCTCACCTTGGGTTAGTTGGATGACATCTCAGGATACACCTGTGTTCTGGTGGCAGCATTGTTTGGAGGGGGATGGGTAAGAAGAGTTTGCTGTGGATCATACATGAGGTGTTGTCAGGTGGAAATGGAAGTTGGTGTATTATGGAAGGTTTTCTGAAGCATGTTACTTAAATAATAAAAAGCATTTAAAGAGAGTCTCTCTTTTTGTCTCACATCCTTCTCATTTCTGGAGTCTTCTAGAATTCTTACCTTTTGTAGAGTCAGAACTTAAACTTTTCAGTTCTTACAGTCATGTAGATTCTGTTCTCTTTTGTAGCGTTTTATTATTTTTTTTAAGGAAACAAACAATTGTCAGTTGCTGTAATACACAAACACTAAAAGAGATCCAGCTAACAAATGGTATCATCAGTCTATTTACATGCTTCTGCTTTTGCTTGTTTTGAAGATGAATTCTACGACTTTCAAATTTTGAAAAGCATTTTTCAGTTTTTAGTATCTGATTTGTGCATATTTGTATTGATAATGATGATTGTAGAATGTTTATTGAGCACTTACTATGTCCCAGGTATTGTTTTAAGCAGTTTACCTGCATTAGCTCTTGTAGTCTTCACTTCCCCCTGTGATCTAGGTGCTTTTAGGATGAGATGAGAAAAGAGAGGTCCGAGAGTACTGTTTTCTAGTTGTATCTGCTTAATGGCAGAAGAAACATCAATGCAGACTGTCCCGCTCCAGTCTGGTCTTCATTAATGCAATGTAGTGCCCAAAACAGATGTTCTCAGAATGACTTGTATATGCTCTTAATTCATTTAAAATATTCCTTAAGTATCTCTTAAAATTGGGAAAAAATGGCTTAATAAAATGAATTGACCCTGAGATATAGTTCATCTCATATGTGGATAAGTAAGCACAAGACTTGAGGCATAAAGGAGAACCTAAGGCTGCTTTATCTCCTCAAACAAACAAGGTCTTGGACTGTGATGAGCAGTACTGTAGTAGATGTACCAAAGAGGTCATTAAAATGATCCGGTTATCTCCCCACAACCTTCCTTTTTTTTGATAACTAATGGAAAAACTCAGTTTTCTTTTTGTTACCTTCTTTTATGCTGTTGTTATTTGTTGTTAAGTGCCATCGAGTCTATTCCGGCTCATGGCGACCTTGTATAGGGTTTCTGAGGAGTGGCTGGTGGGTTTGAACTGTTAACCTTGTGGTTAACAGTCTAATGCTTATCCTATAGCACCACACCTACAACAAGGACTCCTTGTTTTAAATTACTATAGTCTAACTTACCAAATATTTGTACTACTAATCTGAGGGTTTTAAAAAGGGATGATACAGACTTTTATACGTGAAAAGTTTTGCTGTTGTGATGGAAATTTTATTTGGACTTTTTATAAAACTGTTTGTTTTTCTAAAAATGCAAACAGTATAGAAGTGTGAGCCAGAATATGAAAGCCACCTCTGTAAATCCACATGATAGGACTCCTGTACTAAGTTTTTCTGGTATTCTTCCAGAAAGGATAAGCACTGGACTGCTAACCTCAAGGTAAGCAGTTCAAACCCTATAGTGTTGCTATGAGTCAGAACCAACTTGATGGCATTTAACAACAATATACATACATGCACACACATATGCAAATAAACCAATTTTTCTGCATCTGTCTAAATATGTATTTAAATGGTATTAGGAAATTCTGTAACCTCTTTCTGCTGCTTGATGATTAGTCTGGCCCCCTGTTGAGTGACTTAAATCGTTTGAAATGTTTCTCAGTTATCTGCAGTGTTGCAGTGAACATTCTGTTACACCCACACCCATCATTGTGCACACATCCAGTTGTTTCCTCAGTGGCTGGTTGTTGAGTTTTCTTCATAATTTATTAGAGTGCTGCACCGGATTGTCGAGAGTTTCGGGACGGTTTATGAGTTGTAGTGAGGCCACCACAGCCCTCAGATTTTAGTAACTAGCATGGTTTGTTTTCAAGGGGAATTAAGAAGCAAACAGGAGGAATATGTATTAAATATTACTAAATCAGTAAGGCTTTTCCATTTGAACCTCATAGCTAGTGTTAAGTCGCCTTAAATTAGCCCTGAATTGTGAATCATTTTAATTGTTTTATTTTCTCCCATTGTTTCATTTTGCATTGCAAAGATGACTGTGCATATTTATATATATGTGTGTGTGTGTGTGTGTGTGTAATAAGTATTAATGCAATTGTTAGCAAACTTTTGTTGTACTTCCTTAATAAATGATTTAAATAACCCTGTTTTTGTGGGGTTGGGGTGGGTGTTTGTCTTCCATGTAGTTTATATCCTGGAACCTGGAGATCCTCCTTTGTTACAGCAACCACTACAGACATCCAAATCTGGCATTCAGCAAATAATTGAGTGCTTTCGATCAGGTATGAATGTTTTAGGATATATTTTTCACACAGTAGTTTAAAAAACTACCTAGAAGTCCTTAGAAACACTTTTTCAAAACCAGTAAAATGTATACATTGGTTTTCTTTATAGAATACTTTCAATTGCCATATTTTTAAAAGTGGATGCATAAATAATGGCTTGGTCTAGAATTCTCTATGTTTTGAATATGTATGTGTTGATTTAAAAATGAATGTATTTAGTATAGTTTAAATAAATACATAATGTGGTATGTTTGGTGGTAAAGTGCCTCTTATAAGAGATCCTTTGCTTTGGCTTTTTTTTTTTTTTAATTCTTAAAAGACAGTAAATTATATTGGGTGTGTATAAACTCTGGCTCGGTAGATTATTTACTCAGAGTGACTGAGATGGCACTTGTTCTAGATTAATTAGCTTATCATTTCTTTATGTGACTCACTTTCTTCTGCCAACCCTCGAGTTTCTGGAGTATCATTATCTTTACACAAGACAGGAAAGTGTATTTCTGCCTTGACATCGTCAGATCTGTGTGTTCAGCTTTTCTTTCTGTTATATTCTTCTAAGCATTGGCTATGATAAGTGTATTTGTGCAGTCAAAATCCAGTGCTTTGAAATAGGTGTTGCTCACTACATATAAATGATGGAGAACTCCTTGGTCACAAGAAAGATCTTAAGTTGCTGTAATTCTTAATGGTTCACTCATCTGCCTCTTGTAGACTTGACTCCTCTGATGTGTTGTAAACTATTTAGTCAAATGTGAACAATCAGACAGACATGACTGGTAGACATCTAACATTTTAAAACTACCTATCTTAATGAAAATTCCTTGAAGTTCAAGGGCAAAGGTAATTGATGTGTAATCACTCATTTTATATTGATCACAGAGCATTTGGAGGTGTTGTAAAGGAGAATGGCATACATGCGTATTTGCTTTATTTTAGGATTCTGAGAAATCAGATGTCCCTTAATCTAAATTAGAAAGCTTTTTTCTCCTCTAACTCTCAATATGCAGTTCTTAAACTTTATGTTCACTCCTCATGGCATTACTTTTCTGCATGTTTAATTCGGACATTATTGAGCATATGTTGTGTGTCTGTGCTGGATTGTAGTGTAACTGTGCTTAGTATGTTTTCTGTTGTTGTTTGTTTTTTACTTCTTGTAATTGCCCTTGTTGTTGTTGTTAAGTGCCACTGAGTCGATTTTGACCCATAGGGATCCTGTATAGGGTTTCCGAGGAGCAGCTGGTGAGCTTGAACCGCTGACCTGGAAGTTCAGATGGCTTTGCAGTCTGACGCATTAACCCACAGTGCCACAAATAACAATAGGGCAAATTCTTTTTCGGTAAATACAGTTGAAGGAAAATTTGACTTCCTATGGATAATATTTAAATATATTACATTTCTAGCAGATCAGAAGACTGCTGTAGTAAGAGTTTGTTTTAGCCACTTTTAGAATAGACACAAGTTCCTTTTGGAAACACAGTTAATAGCTTTTTACATCTATTAATATACCTTACTGCAGGTTTCTTTTTGAAATCGTTTAACTTGAAATTTGTAAGGTTACTTTACACTGCTTCAGTTTATTATAGAATGTCATTTGATCAAGAAGGTTGGAATTTGCTAATTTATAAAATGTCTTATAAAAAACACCTTTACATCAGGATCCTGCCCCCAAAATAATGTGTGTTTTTTAATCTTGGATGGTAACTGTTTAAAAATTGAGTTCATTGTTTTCTTTCTGCGCTGAGGTCCTACCTGTGTTCTCTGTTTGCCATTTCTTTGCTATATAAGTTTAAGAAGAGAGACTGTGGAATGGGAGTGAAATGTTTAATTCCAAAGCCATATATGTTTATCTTTAGAAATATGGTTATTTAAAAAATATCCTCAGCAAATTTATCTTGAGTTATTTTTTATTAGGCAAATTCTGAAAAAGCTCTAATTTTAATTCTTTAAGTATGCAATGGAGTTGCTGGGTTTGAAAATGGTTAATCCCATTTGCTTTGCTAAATGAAAGACTGGAGGTTTGAGTCCATCCAGAGACATCTTGGAAGAAAGGCATGGTGATCTGCTTCTGAAAAATCAGCCTGTGGAAAATCTGGGGAGAGCAGCTCTACTCTCTGATACATGTAGGGTCGCCATGAGTTGGAATTGACTCTAGCAGCTGTTTGTTGTGGTGGTGGTTTTTAGTACTGAGTAGTTTAAATTGAGTTGATATAAAAATAGACTGAGTGGTACAATTTTGGGTTAAAAAAAGAATTTATTTCATTAGTGTTTTATAACCAAGAAATTTTAATTGTTTTGAGACTAAACTCTTGCATATCTGGAGAATCCGTAGTCTACTAAGACCCTTTAGCACAGAGTTATATTCAAGCTGCCACTAACTGAAACCCCAGGGAAGATGAAATAGGAGTTTAGGCCAGATGACCTAAGGACTAAGAGCCCTTCTAACTCTGGGACTGTAGTTCCTTCCTGTCCCATTCTACTTCCAAGCGCACCCTCAATGACTCATATCTTTCCTGGCTCTTCCTGTTACAACTGGGTCACACATATTGCATCTGAAGAACTGTGCTGGTGGTGCTATAAATCGTTTACAAATATTTGAAGCTAGACCTCTAAAGTCCGTGCTTTCACTCATGTTAACCTACAGAGAATTAGGTTGGGCAGTAAACATGTTAAGATAGCTACCTTCATCTTGAAGCCCAGGTAGTTAACTTGAGCTACTGTATCATCTCTATTTAAGTGACTCACCGTCTTTTACTTACCATGGGCTGTTGATGACCTGGTGTTAATTCCTGCCTGATCTGGAAGTACATAAAAGGCTTCTGTCTGACAAAGGAGTTGACTTATCTAAGGTCTGCCAACTCCCGATTTGTGCGGTACTGATGGATTGACCAGTTTTGACTCATTCGCTTTGCCTCCCACTTCAGCTTTTACTTGGGATTGTTTTTCTGGCTTTAAGTGACAAATACTTCTTGACCTCTGATTTTCTGACTACTTGACTTCGAAACTAATTTGAGCAGATTTTTGTCATTGAAATAAATATTAACTCAAGCCTATGGTTAAAAAAAAAAGAGGAAAGAAAAAGAAAAGCTAAAGTTTCTTTACTATTGTGTCCTCTAATTCCCCTCTACCCTGGCAGTCCTGCCACACATGCGTGGTGTGGTTTCCTCTCAGAGACCTTCTGTTCATAGACAAGCATTTATCCCTCATTTTTTTTCCCAATACAATTTATGGTAGACTCCAAACAATGGTATGCACCTTTGCTTTATCAACAGTAGATTCACTTATCATTTGGTTCACTTGTCATTTGGTATCAGTCGTAGGTAGATGCCTCAATCTATTAGAAGGCTGCCTGCTTTGCCTGACCTGCAGGTTCTCTGCTTTAGCTGACTAGAGAGCTACTGTTTGCTCTGAATCCCTAGCGTCCTGTATGTCCTTGACTGGGCCCTACCCTTTGCTAGAGCCTTGGCTATGCTTGTCTTTCTGGGATCACATCAGTGACTCAGTGTCTTCAAGTTTTCTTACTTGAATTTATCTTTTCTTGTTCTTCCTTCCTTCTTGGCCCTTCCTTAAATTCATAGAACAATTTAGGAAATAAAAGAGAAGTATTACCATTACATAGTTATTAAAATGTACTATGTTGAGCTTAATTAATATTTGTTTTAGTCTCTTAGTTTTCTGGTAGAGGCAAAGAATCTGTAGAATGCCCTTAGAAATAAAAATGGTATTCAGTTTTTAGAAGGATAATTAATCATTTAATATGATCCTCTGAAGTTGACATCGTTTAAATTCATGGAAATATGTGATAGTATAAAAAAGAGCTCATAAATGATATTGTAAAATGAGAAGATTCTGCCTTTAGAAAACAGTAGACTGCTGTGTGCAAGGAACTTTTTGGATGCTAGTGAGGCATGAATTATGTTTTCTTTTGCAGTATGATAGTGACAAAGGTGACTATGGTTTTTAGTGTGAAAAATGGTGATACTTGCTTTTGTCATTCCCTTAATAAGTTTAGGTTTGGTCATTTAACTTTTTAGTAGTTG